GATACTGGATACTTACTTGAGTAAATATTCACTGACATCAGAGTATCTGCTCATATTTGGTATTCTGGTCTGAATTAGTTTCTTGATACCCCGACTCATACCAATGGGTACTACTTTAATGGAACTGACAACAAAAAATTGAAGAGAAATTTTATTTGAGACGATTCATATATACTTTGGTTCATTAATATTATGACTGTTATGTTCTGTGGTGATGATTTGTTTTGTACCTCTGAGTTGGTATTTTATGTGTCAATATATGTATTTATCAATTGAAAACTCAACACAATACTGTGCTTGTTAGAAGTAATTCTCTAATAAAAGTGCATATAACCTAAAATTGCATTTGTTTTCTACTGAATCATTGAAATATCACTTATTTTGATAAGAGTAAGGGACAACATCAAAAGTTCAATGTTGGATAAAAAAAAAACTCACCCCCCACTGAAATTTAATTGATAAATATTGATCATGGCGTCAGACTACATTCACCATTAAATACAAATTGATAATCGGACAGTAGTATTGCATAGCAGTTGGTTTTAGGTCCATGCCCTGAAATTGACCTCATTTGACGCACATATTTACACTCGGATCAAACCATTTTCTTGTCTTGGATGTTTTTTTTTTTCATTTTCGGTTATTTTTGTTCATGATTGGATAGAAAAAAAATGAACTACAAATACTCAAAGATTTTTTGACTTCATTAAAAAATAAAATCGTTTTTGTAGGATGGAAACTTTATGAGGTGAACCCACCCCCAAACTAAAGCAAATAAGTTTTTTATCCGACATCAATCTTTTGACGTCGTCCCTAACACCACTGTAATTTAATAAGCACATACGCACTAACAGAGTAGTGGAATAAAACCCATGACGTTCAACATCACACGGTATTCATCTGAAATATCGCCAAGCACAAAAGATCGCTCATCAGCTATGTTTCAGCACCTAGGCGATCTGTTGGTGCAGCAAAAACTATCAAAATGAGGTAAATATAATTGTTTCTCTTTGTGAATGAATTTATAGAACAATTTTTGTTTGATTAAATGAATAGTTATTTAATACTTTTCAAATGAAAATACATGCAGATAGACGTAACATTTCTAGCATCGGTGGGTTTAGTGAGAATTTCACACCTACAACTCAGTGTGGTTCTGATGAAGTTTAGCAGAAAGTAATTAAATCCACCAAAAATAACGCTGTGACATCCAAGAAGTTATGCCAAAGATGGATATTCAATAAACTAAGTACTCCCAACAAATATATAATGCAAGTTCGTTGTTTGATCAATTTAGACGCAATCAGAAACACAAAAATGGCGAGCTTGTGCTGACACAAGGTCAAGACATGAGTTCACGAATCATTCATGGCATCCAGATATGGTAGCAATGAATAAACAACGAATATTGCACCGAAGTCCTTCAAGCTGAAAGTAATGCTTTTCAATTTTATCTGCATTGATTGAGGAAATATTAATATCTATATTCATTGCTCCAAAGAACTTTTTTTCTTATCACATGCCTGTGATTACATTTGAAATTCACGCTTTGTTGAAATCGTTTCTCAGAGATTTAATTCAACCTTTTCACCACCAGTTCCCTTGTTTCATCGCAAATTCACAAAATAGTCCTGGTTTATAGTCTGTTTTTTACTTCAGAAGATTGGGACAAAAATAGCCCAATTTTGTTGTCTGTTGGCTCCAACATTAGGGTTAATTTTCAAAAATATTGAAGAATACAAGAGAAAAGTGCAGAAAACTTTGGGCGAAAAAGCCTGATAGTGTTTTCCAACACAGTTTTTTTTATAAAAAGTCAGTCACAAATATATCATTTTATTCACATACAGCAACACGACATCTCAGCAACAAACTAAATAAGAAATTCAAAAACACGACACTGATATAAACAATTACAAATTGGTTTATCAAGAGGAATTAATCAAGATGCAACTCAATGTGCAACAAAATTGCACAACTGATAATTTGATTCTATGTTTATTCACAGAAGTTCATCAGCATTTTTAGAAAAGCAAAAAGCTTTCAACAGTATAAATGGTTACTTACTAATGTCTGAAATCAATCAGATTGGTCTCTGGATTGAAGTTCAACAGAACACATCTTCTAATGCTGTTCAGTTTCACCTGCGAATATAAAACATTATTATACATCTTTCACCGTAACACCACAAGTTACACTCTGTGCCGTAATTTTGCAACATTGCACTGGATATTTTCATTCTACCATATTAGCAAACGCAAATTCCAAATATGGAACGATTACACGCGTAAATATCCTCTAATAATAAAAACATGGTGCCACACAAACAAGTTCTCTAAATCTGTTCTAAGCATTTTGGATTTCGTCATTTTCATGATGTATTCCTGTGAGGAATAGATGTATAATCATAAGGTTATTACGAGGATACTGCAAAGTATGCAAGAAGATAGTATGTGGTCACATCGACCTGTGCTGCATGTTAGTCGATACTCACGCTGTACTCTCTTCGTGCATACTTTGCAGTATCCTCATACTAACCTCATATTATTTTACCTCATGACAATGACAGCCAATCAAATTTGTGCATTACAGATATACATATTCTTGTGTCTACTTGCTGACATATTCATATGTCCACCTCCAATAGGGTACCTTCCTATCGATTTTAGGCCAATAACGAGGAACATGATACGTGGCAATATTGATGATATAACTAGTTTGCCATGTTTCCGTTCACCGTTTCATCTTATTGAGGGGAAAAGTAGAATTTTGTAGCGATTTTGTATGATTGCTAATCACACTTACCGTCGGTTTCGTCAGCATGCTCGGCTATGCGCTTTGAGATTTTGCCATAGCATGACACTGCTGCATTTGGGCGTTTTGACAGTATATCATTTTGACTAAGGATTCCTACACAATCCTTCCTGTTTGAGGGCACACTGTTGACACAACTGAAAGTGTTTTCTGATCACAACTTACCCTATTGACGTTGATTGATGGGAACATATTTTGAAACATAGTAGCCATTAGTTTAACGTGAAGCCCTTCTCTTGCAAAGTTATTAAGTACCAGTAACGGATGTTGTTTAAACTGGCCGCTGTACATACTATGGTGTTTCAGAGATGACACGATGTCTTTATTCAGACAATACTGCAAAAAAAGATACAGTAAATAGATGAAGAAATGATGATAATCTCTCTATAGACCAGTCTTTTGACTGGATTCTTTGAGGCACAGTACATCACAGATAAATCAATAATGACGTCTTTTGACCGCTCGAGAAATTAAACAGATGAGAATGGCAGTCAAGGCAATAATTGTGAATATCATTATTGTCAAGGTGGCATGAGACTATCGAGCAGACATCGTCGACACCCAGATTCTAGTAACGTACTGTGAACCATTTAATTTGATGAGTTAATGGCGATTTTCACTAACTGACATCGCAAATTATTGAAGTACTTACTGAATTCACTTTAAATGTCAACGTTGGACCCCTTGGCAATCGAGATACTTTCTGTGAAATTGTGTAGGGAAAAGAAAATATTATTTTAGATTAAATTACGACTTTTTTTAAGGTTGATGACAAATACTTTAATGTCGATTGCATATTTTGTTAAAAAATCGTGCAAGAATGAGTGGGTTTCTAGGAATGTAGCACTACTGTCAGTTCCTTAAACCTGAAAATAAACTGAAACTAAAATCCATATTCATGACCAAATTCAACATTGCTTCATCAAACTGGCATGTGCCATGTAAAATGTTTATGGTAATAATACCAAATTTGGTTAATGAGTATTCATAGATATGCAAATAAGAACATTGAAAACTGCAAATAAATTAATGTGCTTACCAGATTTATTCCTGCTTCAGTCTTGGTAAATACTATGATATGGCTAACACCAAGCAGACCAGAAACACTTAAAAAATCTTTTAGAACATTCTTTTTATGGACCTGAAGGGATGATATAAAATATATTACAGACTGTTACATTATTGTGTAAATGTGCATAGGTATGACCCCTTAAAGGTCACACATCCTGGTACTTTCTGAGGTTAACTTCTAATATCCTATCTAAATATTTGCCATGCTATTTTCAAACTTAAACATCAAATTTTATTTTAAGTTTTCAATAGTGAAAATGTCCACCAGAAAATACAAAGATGTATGAAAGTTAGAAGTCATACCTTGTTTTTAGTTTCATGGTCATACCTAAGGATATTCAGGGACGTAAATATATGAAATCACTTACCAGCAAAAAAAGATGGCCGCACACTACAGAAAAGGTTATTAACCTACAAAGGTCATCGTTTATCACCGAGGGCTAATTAGGAACATTTTTGGCAGTGATGTGAAATTAACATCAACATTTTTGATGAAACTAAGAAAATGTATGAAATTTCAGCAGTTGATGTGCAATAAACCATTCTCCCTTAAAGTAGCATATTCTCTAAGACAAGCCTGCGTCACAAACTGGTCAAAATCCCCCAAACATTGCCAACAACCAATCACAGTCTAGCTTAAACAATAGCTTTCCCTGACGATAATACTTAGCAACGTTATTTCCCCCACGCTAACTTGAAAAATCTTTTGTTTTTGTCTCGTTTCCGTTTCCGGTCTGTCTTAGAGAATGTGACATAAGGCCAACGGGATATTGTGAAATACCGGTACAAAGCGAAAACATGGAGGCCAGGGATTGCATTATTGTCTAAATCTTGCTACCCACACCTACAACATTAAAGAAGGACTCATTGTAGAAAAAGAAAGGATGCCTTTTTCGTATTTTTGTTCAGTTTTTGACAGGCCTGTAACTATGGTAACTAACACGCAGTTTGAGTGTGTCTGACCAACCTTTAAATTTGAAGCAGTGTACGGTTCCATAACTCTTCTCATATCAACAACCAATTGTTTTATATTTCTACCAACCAATCCCCGATGAAAGACAAACGAGTGCGGTGCTTTGGTTAAATCACTGTTCTCAGATTCTGTAGTTGTACCACCTTGCTTGGACTTTCTCTGTAATGGCAATATGCATTATAAGGTATGTAATCATATAATGGTTACTCAATATCTTCTATCCAGTCTACAATTCATGCATTTTTGATAACTAGTACTAGTACTCGTTGCTGCAGTTTAGCAGCTCTTATTGGCCGCTTAAGCTATTTTGATATTACGTTGCGGCCATAGAGCTGCAGATCGCGTCCATTGAGAACCGCACAGTTCGCCGCCCCGGGATCCCGGGGCGCACGCTATTTTTGATGTTATCGAACGATTTCAATGAAATTTAAAACGAATAAAAGTTATCTTTGCAAACACAAACATCTTAGGTATCTACTGACCGAAAATGAAGGACTATTTCTTCTTGAAAAGTATATATTTCTGTGTATAATTAGACCGAACATAATTTAATCGATTGAACGACGGATTTCAAGATGACCTCTGTCATGTGACCTGATGACGTGACAATGACGAAGCATGCGCAGTTGACATTTTAACTGAAAATTGAGAATGGCAGGTTCTTGCATTCATTGTGGAGATGAGTTCCAGAGAAAGTTAAAGGGTATCGCAGCAATCCATTGCATCTAGACTTAAACCTCAGAAACTGTTGACATGCATTAGTGATGTCTAAAGCTGA